ATCAAAAACAAAAATCATAATTCATAAATTGTAATGATCTTAAAACAGAAATAGATTAAAATCAGAAAACAAAGTCATGAAATTATAAAATAAAATAGACAATTGGTGCGACTCGCACCGTGCAAGTTCAACGTAAATCAACATACTTAAATGAAACTCTATGGGTGTCATGATGTTATCCCGATTTTGTTTTGTAGCAAGATAATGACAAGATGAGTGGCTAGCAGTGATATCCACTAGAGAGCGACATAGCCTTGTGGCCAAGGCCGGATTAACCATATGGGCAACTGGACAATTGCCCAGGACCCACGAACTCTAAAGGGCCCAGGGCAGCAAGGGCACGAGCAAAATACTGTAGGCCTATCTGTAATCTCCCGCTTTATATTAAACTAGGGTGACCGTCCTGTTTTCCCCGGACATGTCCACTTTTCACTCTCTGTCCGGGCGTCCGGACTGGGGGTTCTTGCATTGATGAAAATGTCCGGCTTTTCATCCTGGAGCAGGGATCGAATTATGGGGGAGTTGGATATCCTACACATCCAGGGGAGCCAGGAAAAAGTTTTAGAGAGCACAGAGAGCGGCTCAGCGCCGCGTTGTTGCGCAGCGCTCCAGGCAGCTGCTTCCAGCGCACGGTCCATTCTCAAAGTGGTGCAACCAAAAAACTATAATTAGCACACGATCGTTCATGTCTGCACATGTTCTCTATTTTCTGTCTTATTTGCACCTGAAGCGCTCTGCTACTGCGGAGCTCATCACCTGTGCTGCGGTGATGTCACCTCACTGACGCAGCATCGAAACGCGCTCTCCGCTACGGTCAGGAGATCTTTGATCTGCTCAGAAGTAACTGATGAGGTGAAAAAGTAAGAATCCAGGCAGCAGTTTTTTCTGGAGAGTTTAGAGGAGACGCAGGAAGATGAGAGACAGACAGGACAGGAAAATAGTTAAATAAAAACAAGAAAACAAAACTAAGTGTTGAAAAGTAAAATGTAGGTAGATTTATCTCCACTACATGTTTTTACCTGTAAAAAACAATAAGTTATACACATGTAATATTTATACATCTGATACCATTCAGATCACCTTCAAAACTCAGTCACACACCCAGGGCCGTTTCAAAACATTTTGGGGGCCAAGGCAAAATGACCCCCCCCACCCCCCCATAACTGGGCTCCCCAGAAGCCTCTGTGTAATTCATGCCCTCTCCAGTAGTGTTAGTTATACAGTGTTTATAAAAGCCCCTCAGACATTACTGACATGTTCTAATATTATCAGATGAAAAACTAAATTATCAGACATGCTGTCTCATCTGCTGCTTTTCTAAACTTGCTAAAAGTAACAAAACCATTTGAAAGCCACTATTTGTGGATTCTCTGAAAGTTTCCATGGAGTGTGTGACAACTTATTTTATCATTGATCCTATCGTCTAATCTCACAGCTGAAACAAGCATCCTTAATAATCTGTGCACAGGAAGCGTACCGATGCTGTAGTAAAACAAAAGGTATAATAATTTATTATTAATAAAACCTTGTTGCAGCACTAAAGCAGAAAAATGAGATTTTGCAATACTTATGCTAAATATTTACATATGAATTGTTTTAGAGCCCTTTTATTGGCAGAATCTGATATTAATTTAGTTCTTACAAAAAATGGGTCCCAACATGGTTTGTGCGGCGTTGCCATAGTGTGACATCATAGGCACAGATCACCTGTCCTCTTGTTTGGAAATGGAAATATGGTCACCCTACATTAAACAAACTGTCCACCCGGGATTTTGCGCTGCACAGAGACGCTTCGCTGCCTATGACTGAACGTCAGTTGAGAATCAGTCTCATGCAGACTGACCAATGAAGAGAGGGCCTCAAGTTAAGACACTCTCCTCATTGGTCAGTCCACACGAGGTGGGTCAAAGGTTACCCTGAGCGGGTTACGTGACATCAGGCATTCAAGTATTGAGTATATTTACTGCATATTACAGTAAAATATTCTGTATGTGACCATATTATGGTGATCCTTGGGTCGTGATGATGGGGCCCATTAATATTGTTGCCCAGGGTACAACAAAGTGTTAATCTGGCCCTGCTTGTGGGCTAGTCCGGCAACACATGCAACAACAAAAGGAAATACCATAAAAGAACCCTTAGAAGCAACTTGCAATAATAATCATTATTATTGTTGCTGTTACTATTAAATTATCATCTAGTTCTTGTTTTAAATCAATAATAGTTTATTTAATTTAGATCGCCACTAAATAAAAAGGGTCTTATTCTGTTCAGTGTGAGATATTTTTACATTTTTACATTACGTATTTTTTCTAATTCTGTAGCTCTGTTATTATTAAGCTGGTTGAATAAACGTGGCTCTTTTTATTTGACAATCACTAGTTCCTGCATTTCAACAAAGTAAAAAAAGAGTAAAATATAGATTATAAACGCAAAGTGGTTCTTTTGGAGGGAAATTATTCCTGCAAGACCACGCTGAGGGCTTCAGGAACGCCTATATGCGGAAGCGCCGTTTCCTACCTGCCTCCCTCCCTCTCAACACGCTGACGTCACGTCAGGAAGACCAAAGTTTCTGTTAAGCAGAAACAAAGTCAGTCTTACAGAGCATACCTTTGGGATTTATTTATTTGCAATTTGAATTAATCCCGGTAAACAGATATAAACAAAAAACAACGTCAGTCCATTACGGCCCAGGAAGCAACCAGTCTCACTAAGGGGCTCGGCTACAAGGGGAATTTACCACTAATGTAATGAACAGGCCAGAAATAGCAAAGGGCTTTTTTACTTGAATGAGGTTGGAGCTTTTTTGCCTCACCCAGCATGGAACCCACACACCAATAGATGTACACACTGTGGTGCACTTTAATTCAACTTGTTAACAGGGTTAGGGGTGGACTGCATCGCCATGTGACTTCGAAGACAAACTGCTCACAGAGAAAGATGCATCAGGATCGATTTGATACTTGGCAGCGATTCCAATGCGGGTGTTGCTGTTTCCAGCAGTCCAGGCCAGGTTCACAGCTGTCTCCAGCTTTTCATTCACCTTCTGGTAGATGGAGCCACCAAACTCCGTGCCATAATTTCTGTGAAACACAGCCGTTTGTGACTAATGTCATTGGATTATGATACAGATATGTCATTTGGAATGATCATGCAAGCTTAAAATGTATATGTGAAGCTCCAAAATCTTACAATGTGCATATCGGTCCTGCTTCCATCAGTGATGGCACATCCAATTGAAGTGTACAGTGCCTGATGAAAAGCCTACGTTAACCTTTGACCTCACATAACCGCTTCCGTTGCAGACTGTTACCTGGGGGCACAGCAGGAACAAGGCCCATCCCTTACGCTCTCCGTCTGACACCACACCCCTCTGTACTTTCACAGCAAACCACTTCTATCTCCTATTATCACTATGAAAAGTAAAAAAAATTAAAAAAATAAAAAACTGGCATTTAACAGAAAGCTGAACAGGCAGCAAGGAGAAACTTCAAACCAAAGTTATAGAAAAGCCTGTATGCAGTTTTAAAATGCATCATGTATCGTACACGTGTGTGCTGGTGGTTGAACATGCTGCATCTTACACATTTGTATGCAGCTGGAACTCATCGGTCTTGCATCCAGCGGCTAAGTTGCTCTGGGTGATCTTGTTCCTGCCGGCCTCAAAGGTCGTCTGGTAACCGGCGAGCCAGCACTCGTAGCCTGCCACGCCAGCGCCGTGAATGGCTGTACGGTTCATGCCATAGTTGATGTCGCAGCCCAGGTTGATGTGTTCACACTTGTAGCCTGTCTTGAACATGCCACCTTTCTTGCTGGTGGCATGTTCGGGGTACAAAAGAACAAAAAAACAAAACTCTAACTTTCACGATAATGTAGTTAAAGGATGGAATCGCCGTTAGAATAGTTGTGACTACAGTCATTACCCGGTATTTGGAGAGAAAGAGGACTCAAACGTAAGCTTCAGCCCTTTAGTCAACTTGTGGACAAAAGGAATGAAGTCAAAACTGAGAATGTGTCACAGTGTAGACGGTCAGTTAAACACTTTTCCCACTTCAAAACTCTGAAGACTGAGCTCATGTTGTCCAGAGGTTCAATGATGATGAAAAAAAGTTTAACTAAAAAAAAATCTGATACAAGGCATTAGATCATATACTATAGACACTTATCTGGTGTTCATCATAGCAAAGCAAAGCAAAATAGCCTAGCATACAAGTAATAAGTGACACATTCAGTGTAGATTTCTATATAAACCAAATGCAATCACTAACTTCAGAGCTCAAAGCAAAAATAAAATAGAAAAACGAGTAAATAATATTAATCCATTTTAAAAATCCATACTGACGACGCAACCAGAAAAAAACAAAATGTAGACTTTCCTGAAAACAAAACAAGCAAATCCTGACTGCTTAAGCAGAAGTTTTTACAGTTGGGAGTTGTCCACTGCACTGTAGTATAACACTCACCACTAGGTGGCAGCAGTCTGTAGTGCGTTCATACCGGTTCATACAGGGTTTTGTCCGTAAATTACAGACCATAATCCACTTTTTAGTTCTTTTCTCACACAGTTTAGTAAAAATGATTTGTTTACCTTACATGTTTCAGCTACTAGCTAAACAAATCATTTTTATTAAACGGTGTCAGACATAAACAAAAAAAAAATAAAAATAAAAGATGGCAGCAGTGTCTAACATAACAATTTTCACCTTGCATAACATTAGTATAACTAGCTATGACTTTTAACATTTTCTAATACATCACATAAGCCTTTTAAAATAGTCTTTATTCAAAACAAAACACAACTGAACTAATAAGTAGAAATATGTGAGTTAAATTATTTAAAAAAATTATATCTAATTAAATCTATATCTTACAAATTATTTTTTTATTTCTATCAGTACAAGGCACTGTTTACTTTTGTAAAGGGTATTGTGCACAACGGAACTTTAACCCTTCAAAATAAGAGTCTCAAGAAATCACTCGTTCCTCATAAACAACTAAAGTTTTTAAACTAAGTTAGCCTCAAAATCCTGTTGTCAGATGATACTGAGAGAACACGTTTAACAAAACAATATATAAGCCCAAGGTCTTTTGAGATGCGTGTTTTATGTTTCAGACTCTTATTGTGAAAAGTTATGCCTTCCATTCCAGACGCTGGTCTCCGTTAGGGGGCGTGGCCTATATAAAGGGCTCAGTGACGTCGTACACACAGTATTAAAGAGCGTCTCCTAGAGAACACATCTCAGAAGAGAAGAGGTTTTACATAAGTCGATAGCTTATCTGCACACATTTTATTCATTCTTAAGACATTTAAATCACAGAAAAAGCATCAATGGAGACCATAATTTACCAGGAAGAAATAAACATGCTGAACAACTTTTTGACCACAGATCATCTTGAGCGATACCAAGATGCCAAGGTATATTTTTTTGAAACTATCCGAAAAATGGGTCGAGCGTCACAAGTGGTCATTAAGGCTTTGGAGGACGAACAAAAGGCCCACAATGAAACCAAGAGAAATTATGAGCGGACTACTGAAACGCTGAAAGGGAAAGACTGTCTCATAATTTCTCTTCAGGAAGGCATTGCGACAGGAGAAGCGAAAGTTTTAGCCGCTGAACAACTGGCAAACGATTACAAGCAGATGTTACTTGAAGAACAAAAGGCTCATCAAGAAATGAGAAGATCTTACAGTGAAACAGTGAACACTTTGATTGAAAACAACGATTGTCTGAAGGTTTCATTGAAGGAACTGAGTGAATCAAATCAAACCAGTGATCTCAGTCCCACACAAGTGGAAGAGATTTTTCAGCGGGGATTAGAAAAAGCAAAAAGCTCTAAATTAGAGCCAAAAGACTTAATCATTAGTAATCTGCAATCTCAGAACAAAGCGCTCTGTGTTCAGATTCAGCACAGCACATCCGACTTTAGAAAGGGCCTTGAAGAAACACGAAAGGGTGTTATGAGGGATCTCCAGGAGCTGAATGCTTTCTGTCTGGGCCTCGAAGAACATTTTCAAAGTGGGATTGCAAGCTACAAGCAACAGGTAGAATTTTTAGAGCAGGAACTAGAAAAAGAGAAAGCATCTCATGCTGAGACGCGGGAAACACAACAAAATATTATTCTCACTATTCAGGCAGAGAAAGAGGCGCTCCGTCTTCAGACGATGAAGGCTGCCGATGAGATTCAACGGCAGTTTGCAGAAGAAAAACGTCAATTAGAAGAGAATCTGGAGCAGAAAGACGTTTTGTATCAAAGCCTCGACGATACATATAGAGCTGAGCTTTCAGATGTCAAACAGCAGATGGAAAATTTAAGCCAGGAGTTAGAGGAGGAAAAACAAATTCGTAAAGAAAGAGAAGAAATGATTTTTACTATTCAGGCAGAGAAAGACGATCTCTGTTCCCAAATGCAGCAGCAGACATCTGATTTGAACAAATTGCACGACGAAACAACGAGAAATTTTATAAAGAAGCTTGAGGAGAAAGACGTTTTGTATCAAAGCCTCGAACAAAAGTGTGAAACTCAGCTTTCAGAGCGCCATCAGCTGATTGAGAGTTTGAAGCAGGAGTTGGACACAAAACGGCAACAACATTTCGACGAACTCCAGGAAACTCAGGCACAGAACGACGCGATCCGTCTTCAAACGATGAAGGCTGCCCTTGAGCTGGGACGGCAGTTTGAACAAAACATACGTCAATTAGAAGAGAATCAGGAGCAGAAAGACGTTTTGTATCAAAGCCTCGACGATACATATAGAGCTGAGCTTTCAGAGAGCCGTCAGCAAGTAGAACATTTACACCGGGAATTGGAGAAAGAAGTGAAAGCTCGTAAAGAAAAGGAGGAAATGATTAGGATTGTTCAGGATGAAAAAGTAGAGCTTTATAATCAGATGGCAGACAAAGCACGAGCTATGGAAGGACAGTTTGAAACAGAAAAGAGGAATTTTATGAAAGATCTGGAGGAGAGAGAGGTTTCTTGTCAGGACCTCGAGAGAAAGTATAAAACTGAGGTTTTTAATAGTAAACGGCAGCAACAGGAGATGGAAAAAGAACGTGAAGAAGCAGCACAAACTATTTTAACTATTCAGTCTGAAAAAGAGGCGCTTAGAGTCCAGATGGCACAGCAGTTAGACGTAGAAAAGAGCACATTTCAGAAAGAACTGAACAATACACAAAGTTTATACCGGGACCTTAGAAAAAAGTATATGGAGCTGTTCTTTGTAGCAGCAAATAGTTGCTAAATCTATAGATACCACGCGTCAGCCTGAGGAAGTCTGCAGCTGCAGACGAAACGTAGCGGAAAAACAACTGTTTCTGTGCTTTCAAAAAGAACGACACCATGGGGTTACGGATACCACGTTCTGCAGTGGATGCACACACGTTCTCACTTAGGTCGAGTCCGATATGCTCCCACGGCTGAGTCTAAATGCTCATTTGTTACATTTAGTTGGTTTATTATAGTTTTTAGATGCATTTTTAGTTCATTAGTTATAAGATCAAGAATCAAACTGTTAGTTTTTAGTTTGTTTTTAGATAATTACAAAATAAGAGCACTTCCATCAAGGGTGACTAAATCACGTCCCTTCCCTGGCACACATCACCACCTAGTCGTCTGTAAAATTAAAAAAAGACCACACAAGGATTACGTCACAGAAAACACACCTCCACATCATTTCTGTGTGTCCTTGTGCTGCGTGGGGGTTTTCTCTGGGAGCTCCAGTTCACCCCCGACCCAAAATCCTAACCTATTGTTACCCTGGTGGATCTGCTCAGCTTTTCAGCAATCAACATTCAAACTGTATTTTGGAAAGAGATGCATTTATCTAGTTACTACTGGCTCTAATATTAATTAAGGCACCTGCCAGCATCTGACAGAGCCCTTATATTCTTCACTGGAGCAGCATGCTCCCCCACAACCAACACTTTTCTAAGCAATCCAATTCAAAAATCTTTCCTCATGCCTCTGACATATTTTCAGCGCTTTGATCGTCGTTACAATTCAAATATACAGTAAATTCATTTTTAAGTCAAATTTGGTCTGTTTTCCCAAACAGCAGGCTTCCCACCATAGGTCTGGTGGGTTTCAGCTGGGAGCTGACGTGTGAGGACTCCCTCCCACCCAAACTACTAGCTGGGGCCCTTCCTGTGCTGGCGCCATTCATTCTGGAAATTGTCAACAGCAGCCTTTCGACTGGAGTGATTCCAACCACCTTCAAAAATGCAGTCGTGCATCCACTACTGAAAAAACCTGGCCCAGATCATACTGACCTTTCTAATTATCGTCCGATTTCCAAACCCCCGTTTTTATCCAAGAATATTGAGAAAGTAGTCCACACTCAACTTTCCAATTACTTGGGAGATCAAAGCCTCCTTGACCACTTTTAGTCTGGCTTTAGGCCTCACCACAGCACAGAAACTGCACACCTTCGTGTATTAAATGATATCCTGGTGGCAACTGATACTGGTTCCCATGTCCTGTTACTCCTGGACCTCTGCTGCCTTCGACACAGTGGACCATGACATCCTACTTAGGAGGCTGGAGTTGTGGGTGGGGGTGAAAGGGACCCCACTTCACTGGTTCAGGTCCTATTTGTCAGATAGGCAATTTAGTGTTCACATTGACACATTTTCCTCTCCATCTACCCCAATTTGCTGGGGTGTGCCTCAGGGTTCGATTCTGGGGCCACTCCTGTTCTCGATTTACTTGTTGCCATTGGGGATGATTTTAGCAAACCTTGGAGTTAGTTATCACCTTTACGCTGACGACTGACAGATTTATTTGGCTTTAAGTAAACCTGACTCAACACGCCTTCTCGTTGACTGTATTACTGCAGTTAAAGGCTGGCTGTCGGAGAACTTCCCTTGGCTTAACGAAAACAAGACTGACGCCATTCTCTTTAATCCAATAAATCCAAAGCATGCACCTGGTGACTTCCTATCTACCATTTTTAAATTTCAAATCTTGTGTAACCAGTCTGGGAGTGAAACTTGTCTCTGATCTGTCAGTGAGTTCACAAATTAACGTTACAGTCAGGTCTTGTTTTTTTCAACTACGTCGCATCTCACGTTTAAAGTCAATAGTCAAACGACCACAGCTGGAGTCTGTTGTTCACGCCTTTGTCACCTCACGTTTAGACCATGCCAACTCAGTACTTATTGGTGTCAGTGTCTCAGCAATTGAGCGTCTTCAGAGAGTACAGAATGCGGCGGCTAGCTTCCTGACAAACACCTCTGGACGCTGTCACATTTCACCTGTCCTTGCACGCTTGCACTGGCTGCCTGTTAAATATTGCATCCAGTTTAAGGTTTTGACCTTTGTTTACAACATCCTGAATGGTCAAGCCCCTGCTTATCTGTCAGAACTGCTTAAGCCTTATGCTCCACCCAGAAACCTGAGATCGGCAGATCTCTTGCTTTTGTGCATCCCAAAAATGAGGTATAAATCTCGTGGGGAGCGGGCCTTTGCGTTCGCTGCTCCTAAACTTTGGAATGCTCTCCCCCTTAGTGTTCGACAGGCCCCAGAACTGGGTCGATTCAAGCCTGTACTGAAGGCCTACTTCTATCATTTAGCTTTTGATCAATGGCCAAGCTTTTATTGTTTTTATGTTTTATTGTGACTCTGTTTTTAACTCTAGTATGTTTCTTTTAAAATTTTAGGTTATTCCTTTTATCTCCTATATGATTTTTATCTTGTTTTTATCTTGGGGTTTCTCCTTTTTATTACTACTGTACAGCATTTTGGTCAGCTGTCATGCTGTTTTTAAATGTGCTTTATAAATAAACCTGGTATGGTGTGTCCCAGCAGAGACCTGATGTGTGTCCCAGCTGGGAGCTGATTCGTGACTCAGGCTCAGTTGATCGAACTCTGACGATTAAGAGGCCCACACAGGTGTCTTCAGCTATATGATGTCATCCTTTGATGATGTCAGAATTATTTAATTAATTAATTTAATTACGTTTGAAGCAATTGTGACAATGAATGAAAAGATTAAATGGGGAAGAAAAAATAAATAAATATTTATATATAAACAAAATTAAAAAAACTATTAATTAAACAAAACACAAAAAACGTATTGTCAAAAACAAACACACTATTAAAATACTATTTAACTATTGAACTCAAATAATTTATGAAGATTTAAAAATTACTAATTGACACCCTTGAATATAACGATACTGTGTACTTTTGATTAATTGCTAATCTTTTGAATTTACTTGAAGTAAAATGTTCAAAACAGAACTTATAAAAAAATTTGGTTAGCTTTTTTTAAAGAATTTTTTTTCACTCTGTGATCTTTTATGATCCTTATTTTCCAGATAATTTTAGTTTGTTTGGTTGCCACTTAATTTAATGCAACTTTGACAATTTATATAGAAAAATAATTAAGGCCTCGATTGTAAAAACAATAAATAACACATTCATGTATCATTAAATTACATACCATTTGACATAAATGTCATCAACAAATTTGCTCCATTTCATCTCTGCTTCCCGCGCTGGCTTATCTACATACGTGTATGCAATTGCAACCTACAGATTGGTGATCACACATGCAATAGGAAAGAGTCGCATAGACTTGCTTTATCCTTCTATGGAAAAAACTGTTTTGCAGCTTTAGTTTTATGTGCAAGATTTCACAGAACAGATGTGTGGTTTGAATATAGGAAAAAGCCAAACCCAAAAGTGTTTCCTTTAGCAAGTGAAAAGTGCACAATAAACACAACCTGATGCAACCAACTGCTTACAAGATAAAGGCTTTTGGTTTTTTTAAGGTGTTGAAAGTCGTGTTGTTTTAATTTAAAAATCAAAATTACAACATTTCACTAAAATAATAAAAAATTAAATCACCTCCTGATCTGAAACTTCATCAAAATTATCTAATATTAAGAAATTCGAAAATATTATGTATAAAGTAGAATTTTTAAAAAAGATTTCTGAAAGTATTTGTGTGAGATTTGGGTGATTTTCCTTAGTCAGTTAATTTTTCCCCCCAGTGACATAAAAGAAAATCTTAAACTGCCTGCAATTTAACACTTCGCCACGAGACGTCACTGTTGGCAACAATCAGACAGTCGACTAACTAGTATATATATATATATATATATATATATATATATATATATATGGATATGTGTGTATATGTAAATATATATGGATATGTGTGTGTATACGTAAATATATATGGATATGTGTGTGTATATGTAAATATATATGGATATGTGTGTGTATATGTAAATATATATGGATATATGCCAAGTGTTTATGATCTCAGAGGGTATGAAATGGTATAAAATGTTTAGAAAGCCTAAAGTAAGAACAAAATGAAACAACTTTGTATCTCTTATGTTGGGGTTGATATGTGGAATAAATTAGACCAGGAGCAGAAAGATTCTTCAACAATGTTAAAGTTTAAGGGTACGTTTAAATCAAATGTGATTAAATATTGTGAATCGAGTCAATGAAAAAAATGCATAAAATATTAAAGGTTGTCATTTTTTATGAAGCAAGAATGGGGATTTGAATATTTTCTCATAAATTTCAATAATGGTGTATATGGTATCGGTATGCTATTCTAAAATTTAGTTTAAGTTTCAAATGGTTTGAGGGTTGAGGTTATAAGCTTATGCTTCTGCCTGTACCCATTTTTTTGAATTGTTTAAGTGTGTGTATATATATGTATATACACACACACACACACACACACATATATATATGTATATGTATATATATATATATATATATATATATATATATATATATATATATATATACCCACACATACATATATATACATACATACATGTATATATATATACCCACACATACATATATATACATACATACATGTATATATATATATGTATGTGTGGGTATATATATATACACATATATATATATATATATATATATATATATGTATATGTATATATATATATATATATATATATATATATATATATATATATATATATACCCACACATACATATATATACATACATACATGTATATATATATACCCACACATACATATATATACATACATACATGTATATATATATATCCACACTGCATCCCAAAGTCACGTATTTTGCGAGAAGTAGCAACGCTTTACAGCAGTCCATGTTTACACCTCAGAAAATATGATCTATTATTGGTAAATGGCCTGTAAGGTTCTACAACCCCCCAAGGCGCTTTATGACACAATCAGTCATTCACCCATTCATACGTTGGTGGGGATGAGCTACGATGTAGCCACAGCTGTCCTGGGGCGCACTG